GTCTTAGATCCAATGACTGTAGCACCGGCAACTTGGCCCCTCATCCTTGGATCCGTCTGTGAAAATGGGTGTCATATTTTGGAACGTAACTGGTTGTATTCCTTCTGGAACACCAAGGGATTTGTTTCGGACTTTTTGAGTTTAGTGAGGGTAAGATCGACCTGTGGTTTCGCCATCTGCCAGGGTGGTGAAGGCAGGAGTCGGTAAGGTGCTATGCTATTGAGATCAATTTTAGCTGCAGATATGTATGGTTGAATTCCCTGATTCCAAGTGGTGGAACCAGGCTTGGCAGTTTAGGAAACAAGTTTTCATAGAGAGGGTTGAAAACACAATTGTATGCTGGATTTGACTCATTTGAACGTAGTTCAGTGATATACTGCAGTGAAAGTTTAATGCGGCGTTGTTCAAGGGAAGGTTCGTTAGCCTCTGCATATAGACTGTCTACTGGAGGGGATACCTGATATATTTATATATACATATGAGCAACAATTAAACACCACATGAATTAAAGGACATGTTTTACATATTGTTTCGAATAGGCGATCAGACACTAACATTTTGGAATATACATGACAATCAGGTGCGTCAAACAACAGCTCAACAGCACATTGGGGTATATCTTTCAAAACTGCAGCATGTGCACCACAGTTTTCTGAACAGGCATTAAAAATATATTTTTCTTGAAATGGCCACGAGCGCTTTCAGCATGAATCAAGCCGTGATATCCAGTCGCAACATCGACTTGTGAGGAAGTATGAGATCGTCGGTGAAGTAAACGATAGCCCGAGACCTGGACGTCCGAAAAACACCAGAGACTATGATGACTGAGTCCATAATTATGATTCTGGCAAGGTTCAATCTCATGACCCATGCCAAAGAAATGTGCTGGAAATTGAAAGTGGACACAACAACAGTACAATCAGACGTGGCCTTTGGTTGGTGGTCTGAGAGAACACTGTCCCATCAGACGCCTATCAGATAGGCACAGGTAGGATCGTCTGGCGTAGACATCCGAGAACACTGCAACTTGAGAACATGGCGTAGGGTACATCGATCTATCTTCACACTTTACCAATGGTCGTTTCATGAGGAGATGATCCACGCAGCAGGAAACCTTGATGGTGGAGTGATGGTATCAATTTTGCGTTACGTATTTTCAACTCATTACCTCGGAACTCTCATTGTTCACACGTCATCACAAATATGTTCCGAACACTGCCTTCGTGCGACATGTCACAACCACCCCTCGCCAGTCATCCGATGTATGTGGATGAAAATGTCAGACCTCACCGTAATCGAGCTGTCCATTTGCAGAACGACGCCATCAAAGAAACATTACCATGGCCGGCAATTAATTCCGATATTAACGTCATCGAGGCATCTTGGGGACCAACTTGACGCGCCAAGCGCAAAGGAGAATTCATCTTGTTGAAGTGACGCAGGCCATCCACGAGGATTGGCTACCCCACCAGTGGCGGTTCATAGAATCACAAGCATGATTTTTCGAGGATTATGTGACAATTATATTTATGGCGCCGCATGGCGACCATAGTGAGTGAGTGAGTTAATATTTAACGTCACATCGGCAATATTTCAGCCATATCATGACGAGCATGGCGACCATACTTTCCGGCATTTATGAAATTCTCTTCTCTTTGCAAACCTCACAGATTATGAGACAATTAAAACCGCATTTCGCTTTCAATTTATTTATTTTGTTATGGAAGTAACATATGTTGCTGTTGCCTTTTTAATACGCTGAATTTGGAATTCCGAACATATGCAAATCATGCTTTCATATCGATGTAAATGCTACACGGTGCTTGATTAATGCTTATCCATAAAAATACGTAAAGTGTTCAATGGGTTGGTATCAGAACAAAAAAACACAGATTGTATTTTATCAAAAGAAACGACGACAGCACACTGCCTCCTATATCACTCGGGTATAGGTTGACTTTATTTTTGGAAGATCCTTCGAGTAAACTTTTTTTGTATGCATGCGATAAAATAAAACATTTGCAAAGAACGAAATTTGAAATATGAAGCATTTATACATGTAATAGATTCGCGTACATAATATGTTATATGAGAAACGTCACATACTATTTATCCTTCACTTCTTTGAACCTAATTGATATGCAAAATAATTGATTAAGGGATTTTCTTATTACATTTTCCATGCCTGTACTCTTGTTCAAAGTTAACTCATTTGTTGATAATATGCAAATGTTGGTTACTTTTTCTTATAAAATGGTATTTTTGGTGATGATTAGAAAGGTATCCTCCCATTTGTCAGACAAACCATCAAACAACAAACCATCTGGTTGAGTGCACAGCTAATCCCCTGCCTGTCACCTCTTAATGGAAAAGGAATGGCCCATAAAATAAATAACAGAACAGAACTTTATTACACTCAGGCCGATATCATCGTCATATGAGGTACAAATGGCAATAAATGTTAATATCATGGTGGAATAGTAGTTAGCCAGAAGATTTTACAATGTGCACGATATATTTACAGAATCTACCGAGATATTTCATAACAGAAATCTTTTTACATGTAAAGAGTGATTTAAATTTTAACATACTTGGTCTGATTGTAAAGGAACCTGGTATATACATTGATCTTTCTTTTCTAAAATATGTGTATTTAAGAATACAATAAAACTCACCTACATCACTACATAATTTACATTTTCTTTCATTTATTGGTATACAAAAGGGTAACATCAACAGAAAGTGGGACTCTACCTAAAGCATATACAATGGGGTACATGTAATAAAACATAAAACACATATGTACATTTTCAATTTGTTTGAAATTAACATATTGGTTTCACCATTAAATCAAAGAGATACAGTTGACATTGTACTGATAAGTTTAACATTCGACTTCTGCGTAAAACAAAATACATGGCTTTAGCAGCTTGTTGACTGAGATTTGAAAAGATAATTTGAAAGAACATTTCTATCAAAATAACTCCCAAGATGCTTATACACAACAGCTTTCCTTTGGTTCAACTAACCGGTTGAAATAACAAATTGGGACATTCCCATTTATATATAGGGTGTTGCCCTAATTAATCCCTAGTCCTGTGTCTGACAGTTGGGATGTCAAACTAATGGCCTAGTTGGTAGTTTGTAATAAACAAATAAACACATAAATTTGAGTTGTCGTTTGAGTGCACACAAACAAGCCCCCTCATTATTCACCCAGCGTGAAATATTGAAGACTCGGATCACCTTAGCTTTTTGTCCACAGCAAGTAATCGGACTATATAACTGGAATACTTTTGCAAAGCGGAGTACACCCAATTACTCCCTCGTTTCTCTCTAAAAAACAGGCCCAAATTTGTGAATTGATTAAGAGTGAGTGAGTAAGTTTAGTTTTACGCCGCACTCAGCAATATTCCAACTATATGGAGGTGGTATGTAAACATTCGAGTCTGGACCAGACAATCCAGTGATCGACAGCATGAGCATCGATCTGAGCAATTGAGAACCGATGACATGTGTCAACCTAGTCAGCGAGCCTGACCACCCGATCCCGTTAGTCATCTCTTACGACAAGGATGGGTTACTGAAGGCCAATATTCTAACCCGGACCTTCACGGATCGAATTGATTACGAAAAAAATAACAAGTGAATTTTAAAATTCCGAGTTAAAAAAGTACTCGTGTACCACCATGCTTGATGATAGCTAAATACATATTTAAAATAACCAACAATTTATGTCCAATGGATGAAAGCTTCGGCCGATAGAAAGCAATCAAAACAAATAGTGTTATCTCTGTGAGGTCACAACTCACACAGTTATCCTGTTACGTGGGCTCCATTCAGCTAACACACCTCACACAGATGTCCTGTTACGTGGGCTCCATTCAGCTAACACACCTCACACAGTTATCCTGTTACGTGGGCTCCATTCAGCTAACACACCTCACACAGATGTCCTGTTACGTGGGCTCCATTCAGCTAACACACCTCACACAGTTATCCTGTTACGTGGGCTCCATTCAGCTAACACACCTCACACAGTTATCCTGTTACGTGGGCTCCATTCAGCTAACACACCTCACACAGTTATCCTGTTACGTGGGCTCCATTCAGCTAACACACCTCACACAGTTATCCTGTTACGTGGGCTCCATTCAGCTAACACACCTCACACAGTTATCCTGTTACGTGGGCTCCATTCAGCTAACACACCTCACACAGTTATCCTGTTACGTGGGCTCCATTCAGCTAACACACCTCACACATGCATGGAGTCTTTACAGCACTTGTCCCGGAAAACAAACACATGTTTTAATTGAATTGTTTATACAGCCATACGCTATCTAGTTTGGTTTACTAACTTTACAACGTACAGACGTCAGTTACTTTCACAATCCAATTCACTCTCGCCATCACTCTCAACACCCAGTTCAATTATCACTTTTTCTGGTTCATGAATTGGAAACATTAAACGATCTGTAGCTACTTTTTCAAAAGTAAGTAAGGACATTGATGATGATTTCCCCACAATGAGGATGTCAAACGGCGACCTTGTCTCGGCTGTTCGGACATGTTTACAATCAACTGACAAATGTGCACCCCTTCTCGGCAATAGATCCAATCAGTTGTGACACGGTCACGCAATGCATTAGTATTCACTTGATCAGGACAAGCTGTAATCGCGTGTATCTGATTTTCCAATAAACACCTTAGTGACAAAAAAGAAACATCATAAGGCCCAACATATAACCCTGGCATAGGCCTTGTTGCTCAATTCGTACATGTGTAACATGTTTCTAAATACTTTGATTCACTTCCATAATTTCCACTTTTAAACACAGATCAAAAAAAAATATTCCATACTGTTCCTCATCTACCATCTCAAATTCATTTTTCCCAAATTTGGTAAAAACAAAACTAATAGAATGAGTAATGATATGATGATACCGCGCATTTTGCAGGTGTCGCCCTAGAAAATGTTGCTCTTCACAGAAGCAAGCGGTACAGCAAGTTCCTAACACGGCAGCCCATGCTGGTCTATGCACCGACGGTTACAACGACGGGGTTTATTTCGACAACTCAGCTTGCTGTATGCTTAGTGGAAGTTGGTGGATAGTTGATCTCGCCAACGTCTACAACATCTCCCACGTCATCATCTACAGACGGACGGATGGTGGTGAGTAGATGTAAAATACATTTGGCTAAAATCAGTTTTTTTAGGCTGTATTCCTTTTGTTCCGGTACAAATTTCAAGCATCCCGCAGAATCAATGGGAACAAACCATCGACCACTAGTTCACTTTGCAAAACTATTGTTGAGTTTCTGAAATAAGCTGAAATAAGTTTGTGTGCACTCTGTCCTGAGTGAATGGTAAAAGTGAAGCGGGTTCCTTCATTCCTCTGCTTCGTTGCTACCTCCTGGAAGGGAAATTGCGGGCATATTGCATGCATATTATTTAGAACTGTGTGCCTTGAATGTTGGTAAGACACGATCCTTTAAGGCATATGCAGCAATGTACTCATTCAAAAAGTGTTGTTGCAAGATATCTTCAGCCATTTTATTTTATCTGCTGGAATCCAGTAATGTACATAACTTATGATGCTTCAGCCTATCCCAACAATGCCGTGGTGGAAGGGTTTCTGCAGTACCCTCCGATGTGCCCAGGAAGTGGCGTGGAGTGTGCCCGTGTTAACCGTGCCCTTCAACCAGCGGAGAATATCAGCTGTTCGACTCCTGTGGAGATGAGGTACCTGAGGGTATCAAGCAGTTCCTCAGGCCGTGCAATATGTGAGGTGGAAGCTTATGGATCCTTTGTTCGTACAGCCAGTCCAGGTAAGTGCGACAATACGGGATGTACATTGAAGTGCTATCGTGCCTAAAGATGCCAGTCGTCTTGAGAAACAATTGTTGTGTATTTGTTTGTTGCCCCATGTCGCATTAAACAGTGCAGTGGCAATCTGTGATTAATGAGTTTTGGCCAGACAATCCATTATTGAATGTCTTTCTAATCTCAAAGCATTACCAGCCTATCCACACAGGCGGTTTACGCTACATGTTACGATAGCCTGCATTGCAGCATGAACGCTGACTTCTTGGAACGTTAATTCATGAATATTGGCTCTGGTAAGTAGAGGATTTTCAGACCAACTAATGCTGGCTTCATAGTAACGGCTGTATCGATGTGGTTTCACTTGTCAGACTGCTTCTCAGACAGATAATGAATAATCCCTTAGTCCGGAACTTTACCAACCAACGTTGCTTGTAACGTCTTCGTTGTGGAATTATTCATTAATCCAACATATGGTATTTTGATCTGACACCGAACCGTTTTGTCTGGAATAGCAGGATTTGACTGAATCATTCCAGGTGACTGTCCACGTGTTGAGATGACTCCACAGCTCAACAAGAAGCTGACTGGTGCGGTTTCCACATCAACCATAACAAGTACAAGCGCTGCCTGTGGGATTGAGTGTGTAAAAGGAGGTAACTGTACATCTTTCAGTTACAACAGTGCCACAGGTGAATGCTTGTATTCCTCAAGATTGCTTATTCAAACCAACATGGTATCTAAAGCAAACTGGGTTCTGTACATACCCTGTTTCTAAGCAGAACCAGATGATCATTCATATCCTGTCGTTGCTGAAAACTATCTTATGTCTGAAAATACGAATCAATAATTTTCTTGCGGCAAATTCAGATGAAGAGTCGTGCCTCAGTGACAGTCAACAGATATCAAGGTGACTATAAATGGTTTTCCCCGAATCAGTTATGCCTTTGTGCACGAAAGGTGCAGATTAAGATAGCAACAGTCCATAAACTTCCCATTTAATGACCTCTTGACGGAACAACTGACCATTTGAACAAATGTTATGCTTCGTACACCATCTAGAGATCGACACTAAAAGCCATGCAACTTCCACCAAATACGAACTGTTTTGATGTTTGTATTTGTAACATAGTGCAATGTACATCGACGGCTGTTTCCATGCGCACACGACCCGTGACGATCAGGGGTAGAATAGATCTCCAGCAACCCATGCTTGTCGTAAGAGGCGACTTACGGGTTCGGGTGGTCAGGCTCGCTGGCTTGGTTGACACATGTCATCGGTTCCCAATTGCGCAGATCAATGCTCATGCTGTTGATCACTGGATTGTCTGGTCCGGACTCGATTATTTACAGACCGCCGACATATAGCTGGAATATTGTTGAGTGCGGCGTAAAACTCAACTCGCCCACTCCATGCGCACACACGTGTACACAAGACTCAAAAGTACATACAAATACACACACACGTGTATACTTAATTCATGTCTGATGAGAAGGCTGTGAATTGCTGTGCTGCACTTGGTGCACTATAACAGCATCAATGTGTGTTTGTCTCTAAGAACTGAACAATGGTCATCAAAACCCCATTCACAAAAATATAGAAGCACCGCAAGATGGACTAAAAATCACAAACTTGTACAAGTGACTTAATATTGCAGCTGAGGTATATATCACATCATGAATAGTGTGTGTTTTGCGTTCACAGCTGATTCAATGTGTAATGTTTATTTATTGTCTTAGTCAGTAAATAAAACTGATCGTTTTGATAATATCGCATTTCAAGAGGAGAGAAAATCTAGGCGACTTTTTCTTTTATCTGTATATGTACCCTTATCGCTAGGATATTCTTGTATTCGATGCATCTGGATCATACTTCATTGAATTCGTTCCTTCTATGGAATTTCAAGTGAGATTTTGTCAAGCTTATTATTTGATAAGCGGTTTATTCTTTTTTTGATTCATCGCAGTTTGGTGTAGTCTTTTGCGTGTGTCACATGAAGGCTTTTACATACATTAAAAGTCAAATATTTAAATTATATTTTGCACCATTTTCAATTGAATTGTTTCTCAATGTATTCTATCCTCTTTTGTATTTGACTCTCAAACCCCAACTCAAAGTGAAACACTGGTGGTTTGCTGCTAATCGTTTAAACACACATTTTTATCTAAATATTCTGTAGTTTATGTGTAGACAATGTGTATATAGTTATTTACGATTCGATTGTACTGTTGTCCATTTATCTTATGACTTAGACTATTTCTGGTGTCCCCCTGTGGTGATATTTCTGGACTATTGCTAAAAGTGGTGTAAAACTATACTCACACACTCACTAACTCACTATCACGTAGTCTCCGTGTCTGTATTTAGTATGAATGCACTGCCATACTAAAGGCGTAATTGTTTTACAAGGTGTAAAGTGTAACACCTGTCGTTGTCGAAATGCGTCATTTATCTGGGGGCATATATTATCAGGATTTAGAAATGTTATTATTGTAAAATCTGGAGAAGAGCATTGCCTGTACGCAATGCAATTGAATAGATGCATGACATAACAGTATGTCGCAATGTAAAGATCAAATGGAAAGGTTCAGTATGCTCCACGCATTGGTGTGAGTGTCACTGCAAACAGTACGAGGAGACTGATCGTCCTGTATCCCTTGATAATATATCTTCTACTACTCGTTTGTACACTAGTCTGGACTTTAAATAAAATAGTTCTTCAAACAGTTTGTTGCGTTGTGACATTGTACAGCTTTCAGAAATGCACGGATACCTCTGACCCAATTAACGAGAGTAATCTGAAGTTCCTAATGCTAAGATTTGGTCCGGTTGTGCTCTTGTGTACTCAGCCTGAAACACAAAACGACGTCCATGACGGCGAGTGAAAGGCGCCACGTGTGTGTCCAGGATGATGTCCAGTAGCACTGCCCTGTGACACGTCCGTGAATATAATGTAAAGGTGTTCTGTCAGCTGCACTGATCCCTTGGGCAATGTGACGGTCTGCCAATCGTGGGAGTGAGTGAGTGACTTTAGTTTTACGCCGTGACGAGCGAATGCTTAGACCACTAAGCTATCCTACCGCCCCGTCAATCGTGGGATAACACGTGGACGTTGGATGCAGGTTCTACCTGTGATGCAAATTACGAATCTGTTAACACCTCCATTTCTGTCACGCTCATCTCGAATTTGAGATGCACTTTGACCATGGTTTCGCTCTGATGAAACGGTGTTGTGCGCCGCTTGTTGGTCGAACACATCGGCGTCTGTCAATACCGTCAGGATATCACTGTTCATCAAAAGAGTGAGTTAATATTTTAAGTCACATCGGCAGTAGTTCAGCCATATTGTGACTAAATCAAATTATAGATTTATAGTACATGTAATTGAAAGTAAGTATTAAAAACCTGTCAACGAAAGACAGTAAAAGAACTAGATTATCACAGATATAAATTTATAACTATTAATTGTATTAATTAAAATCTAAAATATTTTACCTTTTAATAACAATAGAATATAAAAACAGACTACAGATTGACAACAACTGAAGGTAGATCACCATACTAGGGGCGTTCCTCCAAAGGAATTTACTATTTTAAGTATTCTTGAATTGTATATCAATATATCTTGCGCACTGTATGATTTGTAAGAAGTGTGTATTGGAGCTGTCTCAGTCAATGAAAGATCTGTCGCAGTGATCCCACCCTACAGAGCTTGTGGTGTGAGTAACGTGACGTCCGTCAATCGTAGGATGACAAACACTCTGAGCTGCATCTATAACAACTTTCAGTCTGGTGTTTATTACTTTTAATGTACAGCAACACACTGAAACGTTTCACTGTAAATTTCAAGCTTTACCCACAACATGTTTCCGTGAATATCATGAAAAAACGTTTTCATAACACTTTGGGAATGAAACAACTAATTTTCTGGAAACATTATTATCATACAACTTGGTTCCCAAATAACATCATCCAAAGTGCATATCATGTAAAACTAAGGAAGCTTAAAACTTTAGAGAAATATAGAGAAATTTCAAGACATAGAAGCGAATATCACTTTGTCATGGTGACGTGACCTCATGAACTATGACGTCACGTTTCTTCTGTGGCGACGACGGCGGGTAGCCAGCTGCCTGTGTTTGAAAGTAGATTTGGGTTTATCTACCTCAATTTGACGACCCGCCGTGATATTGCTGGAATATTGCTAAAAGCGGCGTAAATCTAACCTCACTCACTCACTCAATTTGACGACTTCGGTAATAAACAGAATATTATATTCGTGCCCATATCATACTATGTTTACGACATTCGTGCCTAAATATCGGTATATCCCTTGCTCTCTCGCTCGGGAAATGCCAACATTTAGGCACTCGTGTCGTAATCATAGCATGACATGGGCACTCATATAATATCTTCTATTTCTTGAATGTACTCAAAATACCGTACATTGAGAATGGATCTTTTCTTTGAATTATACCAGTTACATCTGACATTAAAGTTCTGGTGAACTGGATGTTTTTTGTTCAGTCCCCTGCTTTGCCATTTAACTTAAGTGGACTACATATATTTAAATGCTATTATATTCTCCAGAAAGTATGACCGATAGCCACATACATTTTACACATGTACAGTAATTGCAGTGAATACTTCCAAGATTGAAACTCAGTGAGCAGTATGTTTGTTTGTTTGCAACTGTTTCACTGCCTTTAACCTGAACTCAAACGGGCGAGTTTCACAATAACGATTTATGACCTCTTCCGGTGTGCAGTCAACTGCAATTGAGTACTAGCAATCTAGAGAGTGGCCACTCCCTGTGTATAATCAACAGCAATTGTGTAATCTAGAGTGGCCGCTCAGGAAATACACCCTCGAAAACATCTGAATATTTTCCACATAAATATATTTCTGACACCATCTTCAGAAACTCTTCATGCATTTGGAAATGAAACAAAGATGCATTTTGAACTGACAATTAGATAATTACACAATAGAACGTCTGAATATTTTCCGCAGAAATATATTTCTGACACCTGCTTCAGAAACTCTTGATGCATTTGGAAATGAAAGAAGATGCATTTGGAACTGACAATTATACAATTTCACAATAGAACGTCAGAATATTTTCCACAGAAATATACACTTTGACGTTCTATGCGCCAGTGCACATTTCTTTCATCCAGATGACAGCTACATTATATCGGAGTCTCTGTCTCTTGGTGGGCTGAAGTAAAACTGGTATATAGAAGACCCATTCTTCAAAACATGCAATATTCACGTATTTTAGGCATGGCTGTATTTGACACACAACACTCCCCTACGGTGCAGTCGGAGATCTGTATCAAGTTAATCAATTCTGAGTCGCCTTGTAGTCTATCATTAGAAGAATGTAAATACGAGGGAGACATTATCAGTGGACAACGTTGTTAAGTGGAGCTACCTAAACTACGTATGTTTAGAAACAAATCCATAGCATGAAGAATTGTTGATATAAAATATCCACATTCACATGTCTCACATTCACATTTGAGCTATGGGGAGAAAGTTCGAAATAAAAACTATCGGTTGAATGATAAAGGAAATGGAACAGCATACGCGGAACGGAAAATGAACATGACATAACAAGTGTTTTGCCTGGGCAAGTGGACGAACGACAGGGCAAACAGAGGATTCCCTGTCCGTGAAAATGCCAACATGTCGTCCCTTCCCCACAGGAAAACAACAAAAACAAGAGCAGTTATTACGGAGCCCGTCAAGAACGATTATTCGAAAGATACATGACCCTCTCAACCACTTCACCTGTCACTTTGCAATTCCAAAGAGTCTAATTGTCCGTGGTATTACCATATATAATGACACTGCATTTCGACAATATATAACATGAAACGAAATATTCTATGATTTCCCAGCATGTTATTTTTACGATTTATATAAGTATAAATATATTTAATTGATATGTTAATGATATCTATTCCACTACGGAAGCGTAATAGGGCCACGGTGATAATTTTTTGGGGGGTCACTATCTCCTACGTAGGACTTAATATCTCCGTCCTACGTAGGAGATACTATGTCCTAAGTAGGAGATACTAAGTCCTACGTAGGAGATACTAAGTCCTACGTAGGAGATATTAAGTACTACGTAGGAGATAGTAAGACCAAAAAATATTTTCACCGTGACCCTACTACGCTTCTTTAATTCCACCATGCTAATGTGATAAAGAAATAATGTTAATACTTCAAGTATAATTTACTTT